CCATGATGTTCTATAGAGATACTCCTCTCTCACTGTTGATGTGTACATACCGTATGTTCTGTTTCTTTGTTTATAATGTTTAGGTACATTTTGTATTTTATTTTTAATTCATAATTTCCCAAACTCGGATCAATAAAAGTATGTCTTACCTTATCTTATGAGTTATATTTAGGAAAGGCAAAGCCCTGAAGCTGTTCAGCTCACAGCAGGATCTATTATGAAAGAATAAATAACTGTTTACAGTCAGATGATTTCCTGAAGAGGAGAGAGAGAGGACATGATGATAAAGATAACTGATGACCGGTGATTATAATTACACCACGTCATTGGACGGTGGTCATGTGACCTCCACTCCTTTAAAAGACCCCACATCTCCTCCAGAGCCACCACTCTACAACAACAGCAGGGTAAACAACAACAACAGCGGGGTTAACAACAACAAGAGGACCAACAACAAGAGGACCAACAACAAGAGGACCAACAACAAGAGGACCAACAACAAGAGGACCAACAACAAGAGGACCAACAACAGGTGAGTCTCCGTTTCTGTTTTTAGAGAAACGTCATTTAATATGAATGTATATTACTTTATTTCTATCTGCCGTTAATGACTTTAATCCAGCAGAAGCTGAGCTGGGGGTGCAGCAGAGGATTGTGGGAGTTGTAGTTCTCAGCAGGGGATTGTTGTAGTTCTCAGCAGGGGATTGTGGGAGTTGTAGTTCTCAGGATGCTGGGCTCGGTGCTGCTCTGCTGCTGCGTCTTCAGCGCGTTGCGACTCTCTTCTTCTCTCGTGCACGGAAACATCCACCTGGAGGACTCCACCTTCCTGTCAGACCTGGGTCAGTACCGGCCAATCACAGAGCTCCGTAGAGACACTACATACTGATATACACCTGGACATCAGCAGGAGAGGACTCTTTAAAGTAGAGACACTACATACTGATATACACCTGGACATCAGCAGGAGAGGACTCTTTAAAGTAGAGACACTACATACTGATATACACCTGAACATCAGCAGGAGAGGACTCTTTAAAGTAGAGACACTACATACTGATATACACCCTGAACATCAGCAGGAGAGGACTCTTTAAAGTAGAGACACTACATACTGATATACACCTGAACATCAGCAGGAGAGGACTCTTTAAAGTAGAGACACTACATACTGATATACACCTGAATATCAGCAGGAGAGGACTCTTTAAAGTAGAGACACTACATACTGATATACACCTGAACATCAGCAGGAGAGGACTCTTTAAAGTAGAGACACTACATACTGATATACACCTGAACATCAGCAGGAGAGGACTCTTTAAAGTAGAGACACTACATACTGATATACACCTGAACATCAGCAGGAGAGGACTCTTTAAAGTAGAGACACTACATACTGATATACACCTGGACATCAGCAGGAGAGGACTCTTTAAAGTAGAGACACTACATACTGATATACACCTGGACATCAGCAGGAGAGGACTCTTTAAAGTAGAGACACTACATACTGATATACACCTGAACATCATCAGGAGAGGACTCTTTAAAGTAGAGACACTACACACTGATATACACCTGAACATCAGCAGGAGAGGACTCTTTAAAGTAGAGACACTACATACTGATATACACCTGAACATCAGCAGGAGAGGACTCTTTAAAGTAGAGACACTACATACTGATATACACCTGAACATCAGCAGGAGAGGACTCTTTAAAGTAGAGACACTACATACTGAAATACACCTGAACATCAGCAGGAGAGGACTCTTTAAAGTAGAGACACTACATACTGATATACACCTGAACATCAGCAGGAGAGGACTCTTTAAAGTAGAGACAGATCTACCTGAGGAATCTCATGACTAACCTGACAGACATGTGGAGGAACTGGTCGAGTTACTCTGCAGTGATCTAAAGTGTTCAGAGACTGTTAGAGATCCTGCAAGTTAGTTCATTAGAAGCTCAGACTGAGAGGACTGGGAGGACTGAGAGGACTGAGAGGACTGAGAGGACTGAGAGGACTGGGAGGACTGAGAGGACTGAGAGGACTGAGAGGACTGAAAGGACTGGGGAGGACTGAGAGGACTGAGAGGACTGAGAGGACTGAGAGGACTGAGAGGACTGGGAGGACTGGGAGGACTGGGAGGACTGAGAGGACTGAGAGGACTGAGAGGACTGAAAGGACTGGGAGGACTGGGAGGACTGGGAGGACTGAGAGGACTGAAAGGACTGGGAGGACTGAGAGGACTGAGAGGACTGAGAGGACTGGGAGGACTGGGAGGACTGAGAGGACTGAAAGGACTGGGAGGACTGGGAGGACTGAGAGGACTGAGAGGACTGGGAGGACTGAGGGACTGGAGGACGGAGGACTGAGAGGACTGAGAGGACTGGGAGGACTGAGAGGACTGAGAGGACTGAGAGGACTGAAAGGACTGGGGAGGACTGAGAGGACTGAGAGGACTGAGAGGACTGAGAGGACTGGGAGGACTGGGAGGACTGGGAGGACTGAGAGGACTGAGAGGACTGAGAGGACTGAAAGGACTGGGAGGACTGAGAGGACTGGGAGGACTGAGAGGACTGAAAGGACTGGGAGGACTGAGAGGACTGAGAGGACTGAGAGGACTGGGAAGGACTGGGAGGACTGAGGAGGACTGAAAGGACTGGGAGGACTGGGAGGACTGAAGAGGACTGGGAGTGACTGAGGAGACTGAGAGGACTGATAGGACTGAGGAGACTGGGAGACTGGGAGACTGGGAGGAAGGGAATGGGAGGACTGGGAGGACTGAGAGGACTGAGAGGACTGGGAGGACTGGGAGGACTGAGAGGACTGAGAGGACTGGGAGGACTGGGAGGACTGAGAGGACTGAAAGGACTGGGAGGACTGAGAGGACTGGGAGGACTGAGAGGACTGAAAGGACTGGGAGGACTGAGAGGACTGAGAGGACTGAGAGGACTGGGAGGACTGGGAGGACTGAGAGGACTGAAAGGACTGGGAGGACTGGGAGGACTGAGAGGACTGAGAGGACTGGGAGGACTGAGAGGACTGGGAGGACTGAGAGGACTGAGAGGACTGGGAGGACTGAGAGGACTGAGAGGACTGAGAGGACTGAAAGGACTGGGAGGACTGAGAGGACTGAGAGGACTGAGAGGACTGGGAGGACTGGGAGGACTGGGAGGACTGAGAGGACTGAGAGGACTGAGAGGACTGAAAGGACTGGGAGGACTGAGAGGACTGGGAGGACTGAGAGGACTGAAAGGACTGGGAGGACTGAGAGGACTGAGAGGACTGAGAGGACTGGGAGGACTGGGAGGACTGAGAGGACTGAAAGGACTGGGAGGACTGGGAGGACTGAAAGGACTGGGAGGACTGAGAGGACTGAGAGGACTGAGAGGACTGAGAGGACTGAGAGGACTGAAAGGAATGGGAGGACTGGGAGGACTGGGAGGACTGAGAGGACTGGGAGGACTGGGAGGACTGAGAGGACTGGGAGGACTGGGAGGACTGAAAGGACTGGGAGGACTGGCAGGACTGGGAGGACTGAGAGGACTGAGAGGACTGAGAGGACTGAGAGGACTGAGAGGACTGGGAGGACTGAGAGGACTGGGAGGACTGGGAGGACTGAGAGGACTGAGAGGACTGAGAGGACTGAGAGGACTGAGAGGACTGAGAGGACTGGGAGGACTGGGAACCCTAACCCGCATCAGGGTGTGGTGATGTCTGTTAAAGTGCAGGGTGTCAGAGTGCAGGGTGTCAGAGTGCAGGGTGTCAAAAGTGGCAGGGTGTCCACAGTGCAGGGTGTCAGAGTGCAGGGTGTCACAGTGCAGGGTGTCAAAGTGCAGGGTGTCACAGTGCAGGGTGTCACAGTGCAGGGTGTCACAGTGCAGGGTGTCACAGTGCAGGGTGTCACAGTGCAGGGTGTCGACCATTGACATGCACTAACACCTACAGAAGTACAGGAGAGGGGAGTGGGGTATCTGTTCTTTGGAACGTTGAAGTCAAACCCAGATGCGTCTCTCTCCAAAGTAGCGATGTCAGTAAAGAAGGTACTCGTCTGCAGACAGAGAGATGACAGTTTGAAGGTTATTAACTAACAGAATAACAGTCAGGGTCCCATGGACCACATGGGGTTAATGTGGTCTAACAGAAGCCTCCATCCCTCAGAGAGGGGCCACGCCCCGGGGATGGACCCCGCCCTCCTGACCGTTGACTCGCCCGACGACTTCCTGATGGACCCGGGCTCTTACGACGAGGTGGGCGGGGCTTAATGCCTGTAGTATTTTGGATCCTGTTGTATTTATTTTTATTTTAACTATCCAGAATATTGTATATTGCTTTGTTGATATTGTTTATACTAAATAATATATCTATCTATCTATCTATCTATCTATCTATCTATCTATCTATCTATCTATCTATCTATCTATCTATCTATCTATCTATCTATCTATCTATCTATCTATCTATCTATCTATCTATCTATCTATCTAACTATCTATCTATCTATCTATCTATCTATCTATCTATCTATCTATCTATCTAACTATCTATCTATCTAACTATACCTAATTATGGTTACAAGAAGTGAACATGTAACAAGTCATGATAAAAAAATAGTAAAATTTGGTGATTTTTTTGTGATAAATTAAACATTGTATGGATTGTATTTGTAACTATTCGATGGGGTTTATGTGTTTTTGTTTCTATGATTGTGTAATGTATTTTGTACTTGGGAACCGAATTGTTCCGTCCTGATAGAGTTTCCTGTTTGGTGCGCAGGACTCGGTGCAGCTGCAGGGTCGCTCCATGCGCTCATCCCGGCGCTGCGTGGCTCACCAGCAGTCGTGCCTCGGCCTGCCGCTGCCCTGCTGCGACGCCTGCGACACCTGCTACTGCCGCTTCTTCAACGCCATCTGCTACTGCCGCCGCGTGGGGCACGCCTGCTCCCCCCGACACCGCTAATGCTAACACCTGCGCCCCCCAGACACCGCTAACACCTGCCCCCCCCAGACACTGCTAACACCTGCCCCCCCCCCCGCCGCTAACACCAGCCCCCCCCCGGCACCGCTAGCACTACACTAGACACCGCTAACGCTACAACAGACACCGCTAACACCTGCCCCCCCCGCCGCTAACACCTGCCCCCCCGGCACCGCTAATGCTAACACCTGCCCCCCCAAGACACCGCTAACTCTACACCAGACACCGCTAACACCTGCCCCCCCCCCCAAGACACCGCTAACACCTGCCCCCCCCCGATAACACCTCACCTGGCGCCGGACCTGCTCTCTGTTAGATAAACCTGCTCTTTGTGTAATAAACCACTACTGAGGAATATCTGAGGACTGTGTGTGTGCTCTGTGTGTAATTCAAAGTCATGCTAACTTACCGTCACTAGAATTTACAGAGGATCCCTGAACGCCTCACAGATTCTAGCTAAGCGACTACTTACATCATGTTAGACCAGGGGTACTCAAATACAAATCTTAAAGGTCCAAAGAAATGTTTCAATGAGACAAAGGTCCGTTTATTACGGTCATTCAAACTTTTAAACAATTGCAACAAGATTCTTAACACGAGGTTGCAGAAACAAAAAGTCTCTGTCTGCAGCAGTTTCCATTGTTCTTGTGTCTGTGCTTGATCCCTCAGAGTCGCAGTGTGAGAGCTGCACAGTTATGAATAAAGGCAGCTGCACCCTCTTTCATTCAGCATTCCCATTATTGCTTTATAAACGTCTTGCCCTCCTTGTGTGTCCACTGAGGTTCGTCAGGCCCAACACATCTTCAACAAACTCCCTAGTTCAATCAAAGTGGTTCCTTTCTGTGGGCTGGGCAGTGTAGTTTTACACACCGTCTTTATTTGACTTTCTCAGGACTTCAAACTGTTTTTTGGGGGCAGACCCCCACAAAGAAAAACATATATTTACACACGTAAGGTCATCATCTTAACAGTGTTGTATGCTCATCCGTGAGCAGAGCATCAAGTTGTCTATTACAGCTGAATGCAGCGATCACCATCTTGTTCAGCAACACGCCTCAAACTGATTAAGATCAACAGCTTTAGTGCGTTTTGATTCAATGCTGAGTCCAGCCACACTGACAGGCTCTTCTCTGTCATTGTAGACCGCACCTCATTCCTTCAGTACTTGGGTCCGAATGCTTCTCGTTTTGCGCCGTCCCGTTCAAATGAAATCTCCGCCAATCATATTTCCACGCTCGTGCCGGGGGAGGGGTTACAAGACGTGCGTCTTGTGCTGCATTCACTTGCACTCGGACATTAGAGACTTTCTCTCATAAATGTCCGATGAGCCACAACTTTTCTTTCAAAACAAAGCTGCCAACTGGTGAGGCAGCTGAGGTGGCAAGGCCTCTTTTTAGGGTGGCAGTTGCCACCCCATGCCACCCCGGTAGGTGAAACTAGGCTACTAGCTACAGTACAGATGCAATACAGATGAGCTGTTAACTCTCGCTCTGACTCAGACAGGTTGAAAGAGACGACACGACACACGCATTTTTCCCACCCGCTTCCGCGAAGACCCGCCCTACTGTGCCTCTGATTCGCAGACTGTTGGTTGGGGGGGGGAAATGCTGACGGGATGCTGAATGTGATTGGACAGGGTTCCTGCAGGTTTTGCCAACTCAAATGTAAGACCTTTTTAAGACCTTTTTAAGACCTTTTTAAGACCTTTTTAAGACCACTTTGAATAGAATTGAAGACCTATTTCACGGCAAGAAAGTATGAAGGAAAATTGCTATGATAGAAGAAATACGTCCCATAATTACTTACAAAGTAAAGGTATTCATGTTCAACATAAGAACAATGACTGAACATAACAGTACACAGAACTGTGTTAGACAAAAAGTGTGTGTGTGTGTGTGTGTGTGTGTGTCTCTGTGTGTGCTTGAGTGTGTGTGTGTGTGTGTGTGTGTGTGTGGTGTGTGTGTGTGTGTGGTGTGTGTGTGTCTCTGTGTGTGCTTGAGTGTGTGTGTGTGTGTGTGTGTGTGTGTGTGTGTGTGTGTGTGTGTGTGTGTGTGTGTGTGTGTGTGTGTGTGTGTGTGTGTGTGTGTGTGTGTGTGAGTGAGAGAGAGTAACAAGAGCTATATTCAGAGCTCTGCTGCCTTGGCTACAATCTTTCATCGTTGCTGTTGTATGATTGGTGTTTAGCTACGGTATTTAGCATCTACAGCCCCTCCGCTTTTAGGGTTGACGTAGACCCAAACGTCGCCCGGAGGTCCCCCGGTGTTGTTGCGGGAGCTGCTGCACTAGCTAACGCTGCACTAGCTAACGCTACATTAGCTAACGCTACATTAGCTAACGCTGCACTAGCTAACGCTACATTAGCTAACGCTGCACTAGCTAACGCTGCACTAGCTAACGCTGCACTAGCTAACGCTGCACTAGCTAACGCTACACTAGCTAACGCTACACTAGCTAACGCTACATTAGCAAAACAAACGCAAATGTATTTAGCAAAAGGTGCAGCGGGCTTCAAACACGTTCCCCTCCACTGGTTTCAACCAAGCACTAAATTCAATGTTTTCCAACCAAATACGGTTGAACTTACACTTCCCCATATTTATTTGTAAGTAGATTTGTGGAGACATGAGTTTCTGACTGCCGCTAGCTGAAGCTTGGTTGCTAGGTTACTAGCTGGGTGTTCTCCGATAAGGGGCCGGGAGGAAACAAAGTTAGTGATTACTGGTTCCATGTTGATTTAATTCAATACAGATTGTTGGGGGGAACTGAAAGGCTCTCACCGTACAGGTTACTTTGCAGCCCGGACATTTCCCCCAAAACACATTTAGACGCTATCGCTACACAGAAGTACCTTTCAAATCCCATCATTTTTAAGACCTTCTAAATCATATTTAAGACCTTTCTTATTTTTTTGGTCATATTTAAGACTTTTTTAAGGCCTTAAATTCAGATTATCAAATGTAAGACTTTGACCCCGCGGGAACCCTGTTGGACCAATGCGTTGACAGACACACACAGACAGTGGAACAGTCAGACATGCAGAGCTTTTGACTCGTTGCGTTGTGGCGATGTATCGCAGATAACACAGATAATACAGACAATACAGATAATACAGATAATACAGATAATACAGATAATACATATGAAAAGTATAATTTGCTCAGAGTCCAGAGACAGTTGTGGTTCGGTCATGGTTATGAGAGCTGCTCATTGGCGCATGAGGACAAAATGGCCTGAGATTCTCGAGAGCATAACGTCACAGATTACCCATCATGCCTTGCTGTCAGAGCAGAGGTACCCGTATGTAGCAGTTGAGTTGTCCCTTAAGCCCCGCCCCCCCCCATCCTGCTCTCTTTTCCGTAGAATAAATGGAGTGAGAAAATAAATCTGGATTCAGCTTTTAGTGCATTTTACAACTTTAAGGACTTAATGATTCTAATAAGGGTTATAAAAGTGTTCGTGCTAAAGTCAATGGGAAAAAGCAGGGCGTTGACGTGCCAGTGAACGAGAGACAGCCTGTCAGAGAATGTATTTACAATATTGTGCTGCATTATTGCTTTTAAGTAAAAAACTGTAACTTCAATCAATTAAATATCCTACCAGAGTATTTAGGATACCAGATGGAGTGGAGTGCACCAGCTGGGCGAAAAAAAGTAGGTCTTAACTCTAACGTCGGGCTTAGCTACGTCCGACTTAGTGATTTGAATTTACACCAAGCCTGACTAGTCACAATCGTAGCTGCCCCCGCGTCCACGCCAATACACGCTAGACAGTCATTGTTGGCAAGCAACACACAATCTAACTTCTCCATTGAAAGCAGTCCGTTAGCGTAAAATCTGAGCACGGATCAGCACCTGATCTGTCTGATCCGTGCTGGAGTTGAGGGGAAATGTACTCGATTCATTCTAAAAGGGCCGTCCCTGGAGCTACGTCCGACTTAGTGATTTGAATTTACACAGAGTGCACCAAGCCTGACTAGTCTCGGTTGTAGCTGCGCCTGGTCTTAAAGGTAGGGTAGGTAATTTTTGAGAAACCGGCTCGAGATCGCTAGAATTTGAAAATACACAACCGGAAAAGATCTGCCACTTCCTTACAGAGCCCCTCCTCCAACACACACGAACGCGCACATGACCAATGAGGGCACGAGATAAGTTTGTGCACAGATGGAAGGCTGACAGGCAGGTAGGCCATCCAGTTATTTTAGCCGGGCCGGCTCAGATGATTGGTCGTACTTTTTACAGTATTACGGTACAAAGTTCACTAAACCACCCAAAATTCAATGTATATGTTCAAATGTTTACTGTGGAGGATATCATCCGGCTTACGTTGCTGCCTTCTTGGTCAGGTCAGCATTGTAAATGAGATTTTATCTCAATGCTTTTATCTGGTTAAATAAAGCATCAATGCAATCAAATGAAAAACACAAAAGTTATGAGTGAGGAAAGTAGTAAATCGGTCAGATTTGAGCGCAACACAACAGGAGGGTTAAGATGGTGGTGATGTTAAAACCAGTCAGGAAAATCAGTGTGTAAAATACAGAGTTGACGATATTAAGCTTATTAGCCGCTAGACAGTGTCTGCTAACGGCCTAAGCCAAGCTAAATGCCGCTGTGGAACCGCGAGAACAGGCAAGAACACGTGAGCTCATTTGTGCTAAGTTGAGCATGCATGGTTTTAGCTAACGTGCATCCCTTTGTGTCCTATATTCTTTCTGCTCTCCAGTAGATATCGCTATCTGCAGCACAGACCGCCTACCTCAGGGTGAGGCGACATAAAGTGTGACACACGCTCAACCTGTTAAGCCCCATTGGACCCCTCCCACCTCCCTCCACAATGTCTCAGGGCTTCTTAACATTTATGAAACTATTAATGTGTAGCACCAGATTAACGGGAAGAATCTCAGCTAACTGAAGATATGAACAATTTTTACCAAAAGAAAACACAAGTGTGTATATAACTTTCCCTCGATTCCATTGGCTCTAGCGGTTATAAAGAGATTCCATTGGCTCTAGCGGTTAT